CGTAGCTACCTTCGTTATACTCTTCTCTCTACTTTTTCATTTCATTTATTTTTATCTAATAAAAACTAAAATTAATAGGAGTATTAAACATTCCTAAATAAATTATCGAGGTAACTACCAGAAGAAACAGCAGAGGTTGCTAAAGACATTTGCCTCTGGAAAGCAGAAATGACTGGTAAGAAAATGTAGGGTAGGGCATTTGGGTCCTTCCTGTGAGTGCTCATCATTATGTTTTGATTCTTGTAAGGAAAAAACATGTATTCCACTAAGATCTGTCTACATAATTGAAAACAAGTACTTAGGGATTTTTTAGAACAAATTCACTGATATAAGAATAATTACTTGGTTTTTTTAGAGAGAAACCTAGTTTTATCCAACAGAATAATTTAACAGTTAGTCAAAATAATGGTCACTATTAAACTTGGGGGGAATTCTAAATCTTCCTGGGTCATTAGTTTCATGTTTAAGCTTATTTTTCTGGATTATAGTTAAGAGTAGCAGTTCAGGTGGCTAACTGGACTTGACCCTAGAAAATACATAGAGTGAGATAAAAATCATTTGCCCCCCGTCAAAAATCACAGAATGCTATAGTTAGAAACTGTCTTGGAAGTTATCATCATACAAAACTTTCAGGTTGTTGATGAGGAAAATAAGACTTCGAGTCATAAAGTAACATGTCATATAATTACGTCAGCATAAAATTGCATAAAAACAACTCAGCAGCTGGCAAATCACATGAGTAAATTTTGTTCCTTTATTGGATATGAAGATATGAAAATGGACCTTATTTTCCCCCAAAAGAATGACAATTGAAATTTGCTGGTGGCAGAAGCCACCTAAAGATAATAAATCTTTATATTTGGACATACTTTTTGTTTCAGGAAACACATCAAGATAGTTTATTTACACATATATAAGTCAAATGCTCATTTAAAGATCACTTTAAACCCTCTTGTAGATGTTCCAGATAAGTGTGGTAATTAAAATGGGTTTATTTTTAGTCATGCTGTGCTCTTGAAAGAAGGTTGCAATGGCTTTTGTTATGAGCTGAATTGTTTCCCCCTACAAAATTTATATGTTGAAGCCCTCAGTAATTCAGAATGTGGTTGTATTTGGAGATGAAGCCTTTAAAGAGATAGTTATGTTAATATAAGTCCCTTAGAGTGGGCCCTAATCCACGCTGACTGATGTCCTTATAAAAAGAGGAAATTTGGACACACAGATGAAAGATGATGTTGGGACACAGCAAGAAGGTGGCCATCTACCACCAAGCCAAAGAGAGAGCCCTCAAAAAAAAAAAAAAAAAAACTAGACCTTGGTCTAAGACTTCTAGCCTCTAGAACTGTGACAAAATACATCTCTGTTGTTTAAGCCGCCTAGTTTCTGGTATTTTGTTACGGCAGCCTGAGCTGACCAATGCAGACTTCAAGAGGAAGCTCTTAGGATGGAGGACAGATTGCTCTGCTTTATTAAGGGCTATGGACTCCTCCGGTGGTGTTGCCTGGGTCTTGGATCCTGCTTTTACCCATGTTTTGGGGGGACGTGAGGGCTTGGAGTGAACTGAAGAGTGGAGCTGTCTCCGGGGCCCATCTACAGTGGCTGCTCTAACCTCCACAAGTGGCACCCTGAGCAGCTTACATTAATGGAAATTTCGGAATGGATTCTCTTGCTGAGAAAGGAATGGTGGAGGGCTCAAACTTGTATGCCTTTGAATACCGAATGAGATAATGTCATATATTGTACTCCATGTTGGTAAAGCTGAACTTTCATCTTTTACTCCACCTTTCAAATTTTTACTGATTTATTAAAAAAAAAATAGGGCAGCTGTCCATGAATCTGAAGATCAGGGCTGTCTTTTAAACTGGGATTTTACAGTACTCAGCACAGTTCCATAGTGAGTTTTTACTTTAAAAAGTTATTAGGATGAGAGTGGGAAAACCATTATCTTTTCCAGTATCCTTTGCTCATAGCATGTTTGCTTATATACAATGTTTCTTAATAATTCTAATTGTGGACATTTGATTATATAATATTAGATAATACTGGTTTTCAAGTCAGACATCTGAGTTTGGTGTCTGGCCTCACAACTGTAAGACCTTCGGCAAGTCACTAAACTCTTTCACCTTAGTTGCATTGCTTATAAAATGAGAATAATACTACCTAATTCACAGTGTTGCTGTAAGAATGAAATAAAATGCATATAAATTCCTTAGCATGGTACCTTTTGAAGGTAAATTATTCCTTCATCAAACTGAGACATTCTAAACACCATGGAGTTGCTTTACTCCTAGATGTTCATAGAGCTTTTTCTAGCACGCATATTTTAGAATCTTTTTAAACAGTCAAAAACTTATTTAAAATGTTTTTTCTTTTGCCGTCTGAGGTTTAAATCTTTCATTATATCCACCTAAGTGGACATTTTCTTAACTCTGTAGAAGTTGTATTGCTTTGTAAGCATAAAACAAAATCAGTCTTATGTGGCATTAAGTGATTCCAAGTCCAATCACTTGACAAAAACTAGCCTGTGTCTACCTGTGCAGTGTGATCTGTTTATGCTACATTGAAATATCAATTGAGAAATGCCACTTTCCTTGAGCAGCAAGTAATTATCTGGAAGACACATATTTTATCACTCCCTATGGCTGGTATCAGGCAGCAAATCTTCAGTCCCCAGCACATGATCCCGTGTTTCCTTACAAATTGTGCTGCCGAACAGTACTGTACCTTAACACTTTTAAATAAGATCTTGACACTTGTGTCATTGTGCAGGCTCGGATCTGGATGACAGGATTTTTTTCCCTTAATTTAAACGCACTATTTTTCATCAAATGACAAGCATACATTATGGTTTCCATTCTAACCAAGGCTCTAAAGGCTATTTCAATTTGACTACAGCGGTTTTCTGCCAAATGGCTACTCTAGGTTACACTGTGCACATTACCCACCAGAAAGCAGAGAGTTGATGAGAGTGCACTGTCAACTATCCTGCACATCGATATGGGGGTTATTTGATTTGAAATTGGATTCTAGCCTTCCTTGATCTGTTGTATAAATGGAGAAGCATGTGTTGAAGAAATTCCTACGAAGTTTATGAAGAATGTGATGTACTTTCATCCCCTAGAGTTTGTCTTTTACTTTGTTGGACTCCCGCACAAGTTCTCATCTCAGTGATAAATATTCAAAGCTAAAAGTAGAAGAGCTTTTCTTTTTCTCTTTAAATGGAAAGAAAACTTAGGAAAAATTATTCTATGCATGAATTTCTTCTGTGATACGAGTTGGGCGCAAGTTGCAGACTTTTGTAGCAGAGTGGCTTTGTGACCCTTCTTTAAACATTTAAGGCTTAGTTCACAAGTTCACTGAATATGATGAGACATGATTCTTAAATATGGAGCCTTCAAAAAAACCTCTTCTAAATATATAATATTCTCAGCGAGACATGTCAGTCATTGTCAAGATGAAAGTCGTTTAAATGCTAAGTTCCTGGTAAACTGTATCTATATTGTAGGGCTCTGTTCACAAAGCAATACCTTAGCAGTATGTGTAGAGCATACGAAAATGTATCATTTTATTATGGGACATACTGAACTCTGGATATTGTGATGTGAGTTTGGGAGGGAGGGAGTTTGCTATGCAAGTTACATGCTTATCACCAGGATGTGGACAGCCCTAAGGGTGGCACAGAGGACTTCAGAGGAAACATATTAAATGGGCATAGGGGAAGAATCCTTTTGACCCACATAAAAGGGCCTTTGTGTAGATCTCATGAGCACAAGATTTTATTTTTGAATGGATAAAGATGTGCAGTTTCTTTAGAATCAAAGGTAGATTGGCAACACTTTCAGTAAATGGCAAAATAATTATGAGCGTATTTGGTATTCAGTGTAAAACATTTATCACTTTGAATGGTTTTGGCATCAGGGCAGCTGTAATAGGCAATCCCACAAGAATCCCTTTGTAATTTAGCATTAATTGATGTTCCTTCATTGTAATGGCAGTTGATAAGTTAAAAGACACTGAATTGAAGAAGGAAAATAAAATGCTTTGACCAGTCCTTTACAGCTTCTGCCAGTGACTGGGAAAAAAATTAGCCATAAAATAAAGCAGACAGAAACAGTGCCCAATTTTCTAAGAACAAGAATGTGGATGACTTATGTTTATATGTTCATGAGTGCATAGAGATTAAAATCTAGTATCTAGCTTAAAAAATGGACAGTTTTTAAATGTTTTAGAATAACTTTTCTTTTTTACTGCATGTGTGATACATTGATTACAAAATAGACCCAATTCTTCATCCTTCCTCTTATCTACAACCCTTGTGATGTGACTTTGCCGCTCCTCCCCATCAAATGGTTAATTCTGTTTTCTCATCTCTTGAATCTGGGCTGGCCTTGGGATGCACTTTGGCCAGTAGAATGTGATGGAAGTGATAGTCTGCCAGTTTGGCACCTAGGCTTCTACTAGCTCTGTTGAAACCCACCTGGCTACCATGTGAACAGCCTGGATTAGCCCCCTGGAGGCTGAGAGTCACATGGAGCAGAGATGAAATATCCCAGCTGGGGTCTTCCCAGAAGAGTCAGCCTTTAATTGACTAGTTGTAAATTCCTGAGCGAGCTCTGACAAAAATCACTGGTGCTTAACTTAAACCAAAAGAACCACTCCCCTGAGCCAAACCTAAACTGCCAAACTCCAGAACAGCGACCTATATAAATGGTTATTATTATAGGCCATGATGTTTTGGGGAGCGTTTTTTATGCATTAGATAACTATTTCAGTACCGTATTAGATTAAAGAAATAATAGATTAAAAAGCAAAAGGCTAAAGTTTTAGCTTTACTCGCCTTCAGCTTCTAATGTAAAACCAATATTCTAGCCATACTAAATTCTAGAATTTAGTATTCTAGAATTCTAGAATCTTCATATATTGTCCTTGTTTCCTTAGCTTTGTTCCTGAAATGCCCTTCCCAAAGGTCCAAATTGGACTCATCCTTCAAAGCCTAGGGTGTGTACTCTTCCTCCATGAAGCCTTCTCTGATTTCCTCAGCCTATTCCTCAGAACTTCTTAGAATTTTAGTTTTATCTGTGTAATTTTATGTATCCCTTTCCCCTTGTATTTGTTTTTAATATGAGTAATTTTTCCACCTTTTCAAGAGGCAAAGATGATGTTTTATCCATCCTTGTTACCCTCAAATCACCTTGTAGTACCTTGACAGAAGTAAACAGTCAACAAATATTTGAACAAATAAACATGATGACAGGCTAAGAAACCACTCTGGATCCCAGCCTCCCTCTCTGTATTCTTAGTTTTATCATAGGGAGTAGGTAGGCTGTTCACAGAGCATTTGAATGAATATAAAGGTTGAATTCTCTTATCACTGCTATTATATTTTGCCTTATTTCTGTGCATTTCCTCTTCCTATAAAATTTTTATATTCTGTAAAGCAGAGTATTTTAAGCTTTTTTGAATACACAGTAGCAGTAAAAACAACATAAAGATTATTTGGTTTGTTAAATTTTTAAAGGAATATTATCTTTTCAATATGGATTAGTTTTATTAGACACTATTTTTGTAAGTTTCCAGCTTTTTTTCCCCTCTGCCTCTTCATTCATAAGTTGTGTTTCTAGTCTACAGAACTAAGTTTTTGGATTTATATAAATATAAATTTACTTCAAGGTCATTTATACATCTACAAATATAGAAGAATGTATTAGGCAACTTCAGTTAAATTATTTTTAATTAAGGTATATAATTTTAATTCAGTAAACATTTTGTCATCATTATCAAAGTGCCTTCCTTAGGTCTTTCAGAAGTGACTAAAATTATTTTTCAATTTTATCTGAGATCTTTCTCTGCTCTGTATCGCTGTGCTGCATTGGCTAATTTTTGTTATTTCTCTGCTACATAAAATTGCAAATATCAAGTTAACTTTCATATCAGTGAAATGAGAAAAACTTTTGAAAAGCAGTGATGATTTGATCCAGTGTTCTTTCCTATAATGTTATGAAATAATAATAAAGTAGGGAGAATGACTGCTTGTTCACTGAAGACATTTTTCTCAAGTTATTTGACTCATATAATCCACTTAACCTTAGGTAAACTAGGCTCACTTTACTCCATTTTCTCAGTCACTAGCGAAAATATTAGAGCTAGATCAATTGGTCCCTATCATTGCTGCTTCAGAATATGAATAAAACATTTCTCCCTTTACACCATCACCAGCATGAGCTTAGAAATGTCTGCACCACTGGTTCCCAGACTGATGTTATGAACCATCAGAAGTCTTGAGGACCTATTCTTCAGCAGCCCATGAAACTTTCTAAGTGTATTTTCATTCCTGTGGTAATTTAAACACAAACACACACTTTTAACTAGTTTTAAACAGAAGACATCTATTTTGCCCAAATAATTAATAAAACAAAAAATAGTTGCTTAGAATAAGACTTTGGATTTAAACTGGTATTTCTGTACCTCTCGGGTCTAACAGAGCTTGTCTCACAAGTTCACGGTTCTTTGTCCTGTTAGAAGTGATTCATTTATTCCTCAAATTTGAGAAGCACTAGTTTATTGCCTAAATGGATAAACTTTAGTAAAATGACTCCATCAAAAAACACAACAACTTACTTTTTCAATTAAATGAGAATTCATTATCTATTATAGGCCTGGCACTCTGATTGACGCTGTTATCATGCAGCTTTTGATAGCATAGGCAAAACTGACAATAAACAAATAAACCAATAAATAGATAGGTCCTTTGAACTATATAGACAAAGTGACAAGTGGTTTTAAGACCAATCCTGGGACCACTTGGGTGAGTTTATTGGGTGGATGGAGTGTGTGCCTGAGAGCAGGTATTTGCTTAGCATGACTTGAATCTCCGGTTAAATAACTTGGACCGTCTAGGAATTCGAGTACTCAGGCTTGGATGCATGTGTCGCCGGTAATACTTCACCTCATGACTGGTAGCAGAACTGCTGTGTTGTTTGTTTTCTGGTATAAAATGAATACAGTTCTATTTTATGTAAGTAGAGTTGAGCATTATTATTTTGAATTAATACGTGATCTGAGTAGTAATTCAGGTTTTGCTTTTAATGTGCTCTAATAGGTTGAAAATTTTAACTATGTCTATATATCTATCTTTCAAAATTTTTGAAAGCTTACTGTTTTAGAAATTCCATAAGAGTCTCAAAATACAAGTTTCACCCATACAGTTGCTATATTTGTACTTCTTTCCCTTTGTATACATACTTAGTCTCTTGTGGAAACCATCCCCATCACTAGCACCCAGGCAAGATTAATGGTTTTTCCCTCTAATCCCATAAAACTGATACCTACATTCTAGCATGTGTATCACAATTGGTCATTTTTACTTCGTTTTGCTCCTAGGCCTTGAGCCCTCAAAGTCTAGGCAGCACTATTTATAGGAGAATCTCTTATGTGGCAGGTACTTATAAAAGCACTTTTCAAGTATCAGATGATCTGACATTCACAACATCCTGAGATAGATACTATTAGTACCCCTATTTTACTGATAGGGAAACTGAGACACAGGAAATTTAAGTAACCATCCAGGGTCACACCACAGTGAGTGGTAAGGCCAGGACTCGGATGCAGTCGGTGCAGCCCCAGCGCCTGTGCCTTAAGCACTACATAATGATGGCTCTCACAGGTAACAGTGAACATCAACTGAACAAATGAATCGTGGTCCTCATGGAAAAATTAGATTCTTCTAGCAAAAGATTCCATTAAGAGTAATGTGATGATTAGTTTTATCTATCCCCTGGCTGGGCTAGAGTACCCAATTATATAATCAAACACTAATGTAGGTATTGCTGTGAAGATAATTTGTAGATATGGTTCATATTTACAATCAGTTGACTTTAAATAAAGATTACCCTTGATAATGTGGGTGGCCTCCTCCATTCAGTTGAAGGTCTTAAGAGCAAATACTGACATTTCCTGAAGAAGAAATTCTGCCTCAAGACTGCAACATTAACCTCTGCCCAAGTTTCCAACCTGCAGCCTTTGAACTTGACAGCCCCCACAACTATATGAGCTAATTCCTTAAAGAGATTGCATATATATCTTGGCTCACTTACTCCTCACGATGTCCCTGTGGAGCAGATAACACTCATTGTCCTCATTTTAAAGATTAGAAACTAAGCAAAATCAGAATTTGAACACAAATAAACTGTCTGTAGAGCTTGCTCTTAACTACCATGTGCTGCTGGCTCTGGGTAGGTGCACTTGAATACAGTGCAGCAGAGTGGGTCTGGGTAGAATAACTGCATGAACAAATGAACAATTATTGAAAACCCATTGCATGACTTTACTTTATACACATTATCTGACTTAATACTCACAAAGGTACTGTGTGTTAAATAGTTTTTCACTCAAATTTAGCAAATAAAGAAACAGGTCCAGATAACTTCAATAACTTGTGGAATGAGCGATAATTGGTGGTGACAGATTGAAGTTCATGTCTACCTGTCGTCTCCCCAAAGTTTCCCTTTCCCATTATAGGACTATGCTACTATTTGAAGAGCCTCAGAGAAGTGTTCCAGGGGAAACTATTCAAATCTTAGACCTAGTAGAACAGCATGTACTCATGGGCCATCTCATCACAACGGCCTTGTAGCTCACCTAGAAACTACATTAGTTCATACTCCTTTTGAGCCCCACTTTACATGATAATGAATTCAAAGAGCTTCGTGGTATTCTGGCATACTGAGAATCAAGTGAGGTCACTTTTCTTTGTTTTTTATTGATTCTGTGATGAAGAGCAGGTATTAGAGTCTCTCGTCTGCCCTCTCTCCAAATTAACCTTTTCTAAGACTTTATTACTTAAAGGGTGACCAAAATTTAAGACTAGGAGGTTAGAGAGAAAGAGAGTCAACAGTCTCCTTTTTCAGTAGTTTCAACTGAATTACTAAAGGTCGGATGATATGGTCCTGGGAGTCTACGAGTTTCTATTCTTTCTCTTTCTTTTCCTCTTTTCTTTTGTCCTTTACTTTCTTTTCCTTGCCCATAGTACCATCTTAGTACATCAGATGGAATGATTAAAAGACATTATCAATGGTAAGTACATTGAAAGTTAATCTGGAGTAATTACTCTTTATTTTCCTTCCTCTTTCTTATCGTATTGCATACCCAACAGAAATAGCTGCATCACAGGATTAAACATGGATGTGCTGTGCTGTACCATAAAAGAAGGCAATGTAGCTGTCCCAGGGGCATTATATTTTGAAGATGGACAGCTCAATACTAGGGGTTCATTGAAAAAAAAACTACCCTCATCTACTTGGTGAAAAATGATGAGACTTCAAATATCATTAATCACCCAGAGCTCAGCATCATCAAACTGTCAAGTTACAATTAAGACTATAAAAGTATTTTCAGAAGTTGGAAACTATAACATCGCCCAAGTTTGATCCGACAACAAGAATAGTTCAAAAGTTCAGTAGAGTTTGCAATAAGCACTATCTATACAAGCATTTAAGTGTGCCCTACATAATGGAAAATATTATATTTTACAATCGTTTTCTGTGTAATCTTAAACCAGAATCAAAAAGTTAAAAGACAGGAAGGAAAAGGTCAAACTTTTTTACTCAGCTCTTAGTTTTTCTATCATTGCAGTCTAAAACCATCTAATAAATTGTATGCCTTAGACGTCTTGTATGCCTAAAAACAAAATGATCATACTTTAATGACTTGCAAAAGCAATTTTCCTTTGGAAAGAAAAATACATGCTTAAGTCAAACCCCAACCTTTACTTATAATCTCAAAATTAATACAGTTTCCTCAAATAGATCATTGCTTTGTTTTTTCTTCATTTACAAAGGGACGCAAGAAAAGATGATTTCTCCCTAATTTTTTCCCTTTGGTTTGTTATATTTATTTATCTTATTCCCTGCAATGACTATTAATTCTTTGCTTACTTTCTATTAATAAGCATCTCCAGATCAAAGTGCTCTTCATATGTGTAAAACTTGCTTGAAATGGTGTGCAGAGATCTTT